TGTTTACAGAATGCTTAATGCAGTATAGTAAACGCTCATAATATATTTGAAAAAATAAAATGTGAGGCAGTGTACATAACACTCTAATGCCAAGCATGTATGTGTATGTGAACAATATATACCACTGCATTCCAGGCGTTATCTATAAATAGTGGAGTCTTCTTTTTTTTATTTTCTTGTATCGTCTATACATGTGAATACTGTCTACTATTATAACTAGAAAAAGATGTTTACGGATATTTAAATGTTAAGAAAATGGAGGAACTGACAGACTGGGAATAGATGGCGAGGAGCCTTGAGTGTGATTCCAAAGGAGTTATCCTGGGGAAGATTTTGTCAGAATCTGAGGACTTGAGCGCAAGGTCACATTCCTGCCTGTGACCTGGAAGCTGTCAGTGGAGAAGAGTTTCCAACTTTCCATTGGAGTGCCTGGGTGGTACAAACGGTTAACATGCTCAGCTGCTAAGCCAAAGGTTGAAGGTTTGAGTCTGCCCAGAGGTGCATCAGAAGAAAGTTCTGGTGATCTACTTCTGAAAAATCAGAACTTGAAAACCTCATGGAACACAGTTCTGCTCCAACACACATGGAGACATCATGAGTCAGTCGACTTGACAACAATAGGGGCTGGTTGTTACTATTTGGAAGAAGTTGTTATTATTCAGGAGAAGACAGTTTTCCATGAGCTTGTGATCTTATTTCAGAGGACAAAACCTGAAGCCCCTTGGCAGCCTCAGAGGTCTACCGAAGCACTGTAGGATCTCTGTTCTTACATTGATCTTCAAATATACAATAATAACCTTATGCAATATTTGAGCTCTTAGCAAGTATAACCAGTATAGGTGTGTTATGTCATTTAATCCATACAACAACCTGATGAGAAAACCAGAGCTGCAGAGATCATAATCACACAGTGTTCGATCCAGGATTGGACTCAGATCCAGGTGATTCTAGAACTCCAGACTTTTTAACCACTCTGTTCTACAGCTTCTCATGTTCTGAGACCTGCATTATAATGCTGATTAGGCATTAAGACACAGTGTGACTGTGTTTTTCTCTCTGAGTCTCAGTTTCCTCAGCTATACTAAGCCTTGCCTCACAGCACTGTTGAGAGGAACTGAGATCAGATGCTAAGAGGTTGAATGCTATGGGATCATGGCGGTAGGCTCCCAGACCTCCCACCTCCACCTCACAGAGGAGGATGCTGTGTTCATAGGGAGCAGTGACTTGTCCAAGTTAGCAGCAGAACCAAGACTGAGATCCTGGAATTCTCCCTCCCATAACGACATTGCCCAGGTTCATTGTAACAAGTGGAGGCAACTGGGAAGAAACATCTATTTGCCTTTTATCTCCCTCCTTCCTCCAGCCCAGGGGAGAAGCTGGCTCCTGTCACTTTCCCAGATTCCTCTGTTGACAGCTTCTCTGGACTGTGCCAGGGCCTCGCTTCCTCCTCTCTGAGGAAGGGAGGCCTGAGTCTTCACAAGGGTGCTTGGAGAGCTAAATTGTCACACTTGCCCAGGCCCCTAGCAAATCTGGGACATCAGGGCCTGGGGAGGCCTGACAGTAGGAGGCACTTACCCTGTGCCAACCCTGTGCTGGGCACTGTGGGAGAGAAGCACACTCCTCGGAGGCTTCCCTTCACTCATCTTCCCTTCCCAGTCAGAGGTATGCTGTCTAGCACTATTTCAGTGGTTCTTTACTTCAGGAGTTCTAGTGGTATAGAGGATAAAACACTTGATTGTTAACTGGAAGGTCAGTGGTTCAAACCCACCAGCAGCTTTGCAGAAAGAAGACAGGATAATTCTACTCCCATAAAGATTTGCAGCCTCAGAAACTCAATAGGGGTCGGTATGAATCTGAAATGACTTGACAGTGAGTTTGGCTTTTTTTTTTTTTTCTTTGAGTTTTGAGTTCAGAAAAACTTCAATATATTTCATTTCAATAGTTACCTTTTGAAAGTCTGTCACTATAGTAAAACCTATAGTTCTCTTACTGGGATCACTCACAATTGAACATTTCTTAGACATTTTCACAGGCTGACTTATTTTTTTAAGTTTCTTAAACTGGTGTCTAGAGCACCTTGTAAAGTGTGCAAAGGACTTAAATTTTTGTTCCACCTCAAATCCTGGTCCAATGGCCAGTGCCAGACCTTGACCAACTTTCCACCTATATGGGGTGAAATAAGAAAAATTAAGGTGAGTAAATTTGGGACCTTGAGTAAGGACGTCACTTACCCTCTCCTGGAAGAATTGTTCTTGAACTTTTCCTTACTATATTTTGAAAGGCTAACATGTCCTTTCTTTGAAAACTCTATGGAGCACAGTTCTACTTGATACATGGGTCACAATGAGTTAGAATCAACTGACGGCAACTGTGGGTTTTTTTTGGAAAATGGCTAACTATTAGTAGAGTCCATCATCTTTTGAGTATGGAAGCTGACACTGTAGAATTTTCAGATTTCAGAACAGAGAATTTTCTTCTAATTATTTTCCTGTTTCATAATGGGAAAATTAAGGATCAGTAAGGGCAAGGGACTTGGTATATGAGGAGACCCCTCCTTGGGTTTCAAAGGCAGTATCTCTATGGAAATAGATTGCCCAATCTTCCTTCCAAGGAGTGGCGGTGGGTTTGAACCACCAGTCTTCTGGTTAGCAGTCGAATGCCTTAGGCACTGTGCCACCAGAGCTCTCTTTAAGGGCAAGAGACTTGGTATATGAGGCCTCCCCAGAGTTAGTTGAGCAGCCACTGGGCTTTCCCACTTCTGCATTCTATCTCCTGGGCTCGGGAACTCAAGATGATTCTATAATCTCTGAAGTAAAATCAAAAGAAAATAAAAAAAGTTCTTTCTTTCATGAAGAATAGTGATAGTCTGTGAATATTTTTTTTCCATGTCTTTGTTTGACAAGCCCATATTAACTCTCCATTTTAAAAAATTAATCATTTATGGAAACTGGAAATCTAGGAGCCACCAACATTGCTTTTGAATCAGTCATTTCCTTTGATCAAATGCTACCAATATTGGCCAACCAAAAACCAAACCAAACTCACTGCATTGAGTCCATTCCAACTCATAGCAACCCCTCCTTGGATTTTGGAGGCAGTATCTCTATGGAAGTAGATTGCCCAATCTTCCTTCTGAGGAGTGGCTGGTTTTTTAATATTGGCCAAGATTGGTTAAAGTGCTGGAACCCAGTAGGTATGATTCAAATACTGTTGCTGCCAGTTATTTCCTAAGCCACCTTAATCAAGTCCTAACCTCACTCAGATGATACAACTTTGCTTGCTGAAAGTGAGGATGACTTGAGGCACTTACTGATGAAGGTTGAAGAATACAGTCTGCAGAATGGATTATGTCTCAATATAAAGAAAACAAAAATCCTCACAACTGGACCAATGAGCAGCATCACAATAAATGGAGAGAAGATTGAGGTTGTTAAAGAATTCATGTTGCTTGGTTCTACAATCGATGCCAATGGAAGCAGCAGTCAGGACATTAGATGATGCGTAGCATTGAGAAGGTCAACCGCAAAGGAACTGTTTCAAGTGCTGAGGAGCAATGATGTCTCCTTGAGGACTAAGGTGCACCTGACAGAAGCCATGATATTTCCAATCACCTCATATACATGTGAGAGCTGGACAATGAATAAGGAAGACCAAAGAAGAGTTGATGCTTTTGAGTTGTGGTGCTGGCAAAGAATGCTGTGTGGTGCTGGCAAAGAATGCTGAAAGTACCATGGACTGCTAAAAGAACTAACAGATCTGTCCTGGAGGAGGTGCACCCAAAATGCTCCTTGGAAGCAAGAATGGCCAGACTTCGTCTCACCTATTTTGGTCATGTTGTCAGAAGGGACCATTCCCTGGAGAAGGATGTCATGCTTGGTAGGGTGGAGGGTCGACAAAAGAGGGGAAGGCCTTCAACGAGATGGATTGACATGGTGGCTGCGATGATGAGCTCAAATATAGCAGGGATCATGGAGCTGGTGCAGGATCAGGGAGTGTTTCATTCTGCTGTGCATGGGATCACTATGAGTCAGAAACGACTCGACGGCACCTAACAACAACAACCTCTGTCTTCTCACCTTTAAATTGGGTCATTTCACAGGTTCATTCTGAAGATTAAATAAGATAATATAGCTGAGACAGCATAGCACCTGGTATTTCCTAAGTACTGAATTTTCTACTCCTTCCCCTATTTGGCAAAGTGAGTACTACTGTCTCTGTTTTACAGATGGGGAAGCAACCCCTTCTAACAGAGTTCAACCATGGCAAAACCATGGCTGGGACTTCTGATGCTGTGGTCCCAGTACCACATAACTTTGAGGGGTACTTGACTGGAAGTTGTGGTAGCCACAGGCCCTAATGGAAAAGGGGAATCATCTCTGAGCTGAGCATTTGGAGGTTTTAGGGCACTTCAGGGCCACAGATGGGATAGGGGTTATAACAGAAGGGCTACCCAAGTCCTAGGAGAAGGAAGAGATGGGAAGTGTGGGCCCATGGATAGCAGCAGAAGCCAGATGGCAGGGATCTATGGAAAGGCAAACCAAAACAGAACAAAACAAAAAAACAAATCTATTGCCATCAAGTTAATTTTGAATCATGGCAAACCCATGTATTTTTTTGCGGGGAGGGGAGGGGAAGCTGTAATCTTTACAGAGGCAGTTCACTGGTCCTTTCTCCCATAGACCTACTGGGTAGGTTTGAACTGCCAGCCTTTAGGTTAGTAGTCAATCACAAACCACTCATGCCACCCAGCATCAAGGAAAGGCCAACTGCCATCAAATTCCTCACTGTTAGTTTCCTCAGCAATAACAAGAAATCCTGCAACAGGAATCCCTCCACAGGTGGAGGGTGCACTGCCTTGGGCTAAGTGAACCAGGCATGGGACAAGGTCTGGCATCACTGGAATTCTTGACTTGCCTTTGGAAGAGTTCTACCCTAGCACCCATCCTCACATTGACCTCCCACCCTCAATGCTTACCTCATTGATGTCTCACTTCTTCCAGAGACACCAAGAACCAGAACAGCCATGCAGACCAGTACCCCAGGAACTAGGCCCCATCAGTGAGGACATAGGTGAGTAGCCACCATCATAAATGCTCCTACTGACATCCATGAGATTTCTTACCTTCTAATCAACAAAGGTGATATAGCTACTTAAACAACCGATGAGATCTTAAGTTGTTGTTGTTATGTGCTGTCAAGTCTGACCCGACTCATAGTGACCCCTCCTTGGGTTGCCAAGGCAGTATCACTATGGAAGTAAATTGCCCCATCTTCCTTCTGAGGAGTGGCTGGTGGGTTTGAACCACTGGCCTTCTGGTTAGCAGTCAAGTGCTTTAGGGATCTTAAGTAGGTTACATGAATAGGAATATCATATCTAAAATCAGGGAGGTGACAATCCAGACCTGAACTTCCCTGTTCTGGGCTGCTGATGCCACACTAGAGTGCTGGGTTTGTTTCTGGAAAGTATATTTCCAGAGGGGTCCAGAAACACTGGGAGGTACACAATGTTGAGAGTTCAGGCTGGTGAGGAATCTAGAAGCCATGTCCTGTAAGGAGTGGTTGAAGACACAGAGAACACTCCACCTAGAAAGAAGATGTCATAATAAAACACAACAGACCTCTCCATGTGTCTGAAGTGCCCACATGGGGAAGAAAGATGAGCCTTGTTTGGTGTGACCTACAGGCCAGTCCTAGGGCCTCAAGGTAACAGGAACTGGCAGGCAGTCCAGCTCAATCTCAAAGGATTTTTTTGTGTGGTACTTGGTTTAAAACCATCAGAGCTTCCCAATGAGAGAATGAGCTCCCCACCCCAAAAAGTGTTTAAGCACAGGCTGGATGACTAGCTATTGGGGATATTGTATATGAAGAGCAAGCACCAGATAAGCAAATGGACCAAAATTCAGAGACTCTCCTACTTTACTTTCCATCATAATTACATAGAGAATTTCAAAGATACAGATTCTGGAGCCACAGTCCAACTTAAGAATCTCTAGGAGTGAAGATAGAGAGTCTACATTTTTAGTACCGTATCTTTTTAATGGGAGCTCTGGTAGCATAGTGCCTAAGGCACTTGACTGCTAACCAAAAGGCTGGTGGTTCAAACCCACCAGCCACTCCTTGGAAGGAAGATGGAGCAATCTACTTCCATAGTGATTCTGCCTTGGAGACCCAAGGAGGGGTCGCTATGAGTTGGGGCCGACTCGATGGCAAACAACAACCTTTTTAATAAGCTTCTCTCCTGCTGGTGCCAACCAGCTGCTGGTCTCATGGACCAGTGTTTAGGACCCTGAGACAAATCATTTGTGAGAGTCTAAGGGTGTCTGACCTTGACTGCTACTGTCATCTAACCTGTCTCTATCTGTTTGCAGCCTCTGGGAGCCCAGGACCCAGGGGCAGCAGGCTACTCCCTGTCATATCTTGATGGAAGTAACAACAGTGCTGGCGTCTCCCTCACCAGCCCCCTTTCAAGGGCTTCACCCTTTGCCAGATGCTTCCTATGGAGTTCTGTAATAATAATGCTAACAGTACTAATATTGACCTCTAATGCTTGTCATAAACACCAATTGTTGTTGTTGTTGTGTGCCACTGAGTCAGACCTGACTCATAGGACCCCTCCTTGGGTTTCCGAGGCAGTATCACTATGGAAGTAGATTGCCCAACCTTCCTTCCGAGGAGTGGCTGGTGGGTTTGAACCACCAGCCT